GGATAGGTATTAAATCTTTGAATATTTGGTAGAATTCATTAGTGAAGCCATCTGGTCTTGGACTTTTACTTTTTGGAAGGTTTTTGATGACTGTTCCAATTTCCTTACTGTTGATCGGTATATTTAGATTTTGTAGTTTGTCATGAGTCCATCTACGAAGCTTACATATTTTTAAGAACTTGTCCATTTCTTCTAGGTTATCAAGTTTGGTGGCCTTTCATAGTGTTCTTGTATAGTCCTTTGTATTTCTGTGGTATCCGTTGTAACTTCTCTTTCATTTATATTTTGTCCATTTGAGTCTTTTCTCTTTTTTCCTCAGGCAGAGGTTTGTCAGTTTTATTAATCTTTGGAAAGAATCAACTCTTTGTTGCATTATTTTTTTTTCTATTGTGTTTTTGTTCTCTATTTCATTTAATTCTGCTCTGATTTTTATTACTTCCTTCTACTGACATTGGGCTATGTTCTTTTTTTGTTGTTGTTCTAGTTCTTTAAGGTGAAATGTTAGGTTATTTATTTGAGATTTTTCTTGTTTCTTGAGGTAGGCCTATAATGATATAAACTTCCCTGTAATTACCACTTTTTCTATATCTCCAAAATTTTGATGATGTATTATCATTCTCATGTGTCTCTATCCTTTGATCTCTTTTTTCTTCTTTGACCCATTGTTTAATAGCATGTTGTTTAATATTCACATTTTTGTTGTTTTTCCTGCTTCTTTTTATATTTGATTTTCAGTTTCAAGGCATTGTGATTGGAAAATTTGCTTGGTATGATTTCAGGCTTATTAAATTTGGTGAGCTTAATTTTGTGTTTCAGCATATGGTCTATCATTGAGAACGTTCCATGTTTGCTAAAGAAGAGTGTGTATTCTGGTGTTCTGGGATGAAAAACTCTGTAAATATTGATTATGTCCATTTGGTCTAATGTGTCATTTAAGGCAGATATTTCCTTATTGATTTTCTGTGTGGATGATCTATCTATAGCTGTCAATGGGGTATTTATTTCTCCTACTATTGTGTTTTTGTTAGTTCTCCCTTTAGTTTTGTTACTAGTTGCTTTATAAATTTTGGTGCTTCCAGGTTGGATGCATATATATTGATAAGTGTTTTATGTCTTCTTGATGTGTTGTCCCCATTATCTTTATAAATTGTGCATCTTTGTCTCTTTATTAGCTTGAAATCTATTTTGTCTGATATAAGAATGGCTATACCTACTTTTCTCTGGATACCACTTGCTTGGAGAGTATCATTTTCCACCCCTTCACTTTGAGTCTGTTTGTCCTTGTAGCTGAGATGTGTCCCTGAAGGCAGCATATAGTTGGGTTTTCTTTTTTGATCCAACTTTCTACTCTGCCTTTTAATTGGTGAGTTCAATCCATTTACATTTAGGGTGATTATTGATATATGAGGATTTCCTACACCCATTTTATCTGTTTTCTGGTAATTTGGTGTCTCCATTGTTTCTTTTCCCTTGTGTTTCTGTCTGTTGTTTTACTTTGGTGATATTCTATGACTTCCTTCTTTGTGTTTTCTTTTTTGTGTTATGTGTTTCAGTTCTAGATTATTTTTGTGGTTACCATTATGTTTATGCAAAGAAAATTTTATACATATAGTAGTCCTTTTTCTTCTGATTGCATCTTACCTCCATTCATCTGTGCAAGTTTAGTCCTTTACCCCTCCTCGTTTATGTTTGTGTTGCCACAAATTACCCCTTTTTATGATGTGAGTTCATTTCCATAATATAATAGCTATTATCTTTTTTTTTAATTAAAATTTATTGGGGTGACAATGGTCAACAAAACTACATAGGTTTCAAGTGTACAGTTCTGTAATACATCATCTATATAGTGTATCATGTGTTCACCACCCAGAGTCAGTTCTCCTTCCATCACCATATATTTGACCCCCTTTACTCTCTTGTATCATCCCCTCCCCCCTTACCCTCTGGTGACCACTGAACCGTTGTCTGTGTCTATGAGCTTATGTTTCTCTATTTGTTTGTCTTGTTCCTTTTTTGCTTTCAGTTTTATATCCCGCATATAAGTAAAGTCATATGGTCTTTATTAAAAAAATATTTTTACCTTTAACTTTTATGTTATACTCAAGTGTTTGATACCCTATTCTGAACAAGGGTTTCAATTTTCTGCTTCTGTCTGTTAGTTATCTTGCTCATAGTTATGTATCTTTTTGTCTTTTTGTTTCAGATAGAACAACACCCTTCAGTATTTCCTGTAATGCAGCTCTTGTGGTAGTAAATTTCCTTAGGTCCTATATGTCTGGAAAGGTCTTTATTTCTTCTTTATACCTAAAGTGTAACTTTTCTGGATATATTATTCTTGGCTGATTATTTCTCACTTTTAATAATTTGAATATTTGATTCCACTCTCTCCCAGCTTGTAGCGTTTCTGCTGAAAAATCTGATGATAATCTAATGGAGTTTCCTTTATAGGTTAATGTCTTCTTTTCCTTGGCTGCCTTGAGAATTCTTTCTTTGTTGTTAATTTTGGACTGTTTTAATACAATATGCCTTGAAGAAGGCCTTTTTGGATTGAGATAATTAGACATTCTGTTAGCTTCTTTTATTCAAGGATTCAGGTCATTGTAAAGGTTTGGAAAGTTCTCATCAGTTATTTATTTGAATAGGATCTCTGGTCCCTTCTCCCTCTCTTCTTCTGGTATACCCTTTATTCTTATAGTATTGCTCTTTCTGGTGGAGTCAGGTAGTTCTTGTAGAGCTCTTTCATTTCTTTTAACTCTCAAGTCTCTCTCTTCTCTTCCACCTGAGTCATTTCTAGATCTCTGTCTTCTATGTCACTAATTCTTTCCTCTGTCTTGTCTGCTCTAAGCTTACTAATTCATTCTTCATCTCTTTTATTGAGTTCTTCAGCTTCAGAATTTCTGTTTGATTCTTTTTTATAGTTTCAGTCTCTTTGATGAAGTACTATTTTTGTTCATTGATTTTGTTTCTGGGTTCGTTGAATTGTTTTTCTGAGTTTTCTTGTATCTCATCGAGTTTTTTTCAGAGCTGCAGTCTCGAATTCTCTGTCATTTAAATTACATATTTCCATGTCTTTATTTTCTGGAGTGTTTTCATTTTCTTTCTGAACTCCTTTGTTATCTTGGTTACTCATTGTGCTTGATGGGCTATTTCTCTGCCTGGGCATGTAAATGCCTGTGTAAATGAAAGCTGCTTTTTAAAAGAATTTTAGGGGCCGGCCGAGTGGCTGAGTTGGTTTAAAGTTGGCTTAAGAGTGCGAGCTCTGAGCAACAGGGCCACCGGTTCGATTTCCACATGGGCCAGTGACGCTGCGCCTGAGCTGAGCTGTCACTGAGCTGCCAACAGGTGGCAGGATGGCTCAACTGATGTAACAACAAGATTGCTTGTTCAATGGTGATCTACGCCCACCTGCAACTAAGACTGAACTTGGAACCTTGAGCTGAGCTGCTGCCTGGATGGCTCACTGGATAGAGCATGCACTCTTAACAACAAGGCTGCTGGTTCGACTCTCGCATGGGATGATGGCTACGCCCACCCGCAACTTAGACTAAACACAGCACCTTGAGCTTAGACGCCATGATCTACCACAACTAAGATTGAAGGACAACTTGGCTCGTCCTCTTCTCTAATTCCCCAACACTGTTCCCCAATTAAATCTTTAAAAAAAATAAATAAAAGAATTTTAGTTGATAAGTAGAGGTCTCTCTTTCATTTTCGAGTAGGTGGCACTGAAGTGCACGGATTTTTATTTTCTCTTACCTGCATTCCTGGGACTTACAGAATCTTTTTGTGTGTTGCCTAGGTAGTAGGAAACCCTTGGTATTCCCCAGGAGGTGGTTGTCCCCTTTACGACCAGGTTGCCTCAGTCTGACACCACATCCATGGTTTGGAAGGGGCAGGCTATAGGTCTCCTGTGTGTTCCTGGCACTGTCACCCTATTGCCAGAAGCCACAGTCAAGGTTTCTCTGAGTTGACCCACCTGTTTCTACTAGGCTGTTCTGCAATGGTGCGGGGTGTGGCGGGGGAAGGTCATGATGGGGGCAGCAAATTCCTGTGTGTGCAGCTCTTCTCTTCTTCATGGTTTTAGCCGCAATGAGTACAGACGACTTAGGCTTTAATGTTTTTGCTTTAGCCTTTTTGCGATCTTCCGATTGTGGATTTTGATGCCCAGTGGGCCTCAGAGGTGTGGAGTGGGCAGATTCCCTATTTGTGGAATCCTTTGTTTGATGCTGGCAGGCATTGGAGCACTGAGATTATTTTGCACCATTTCTGTGCCTCTGACCCTGAGTCCAACCTTAGTGTGTTCCACCCAGCCCCAATTGCTGTCTCTGCCCTCTCTCCCCTCCAGTCTCATCTGCCCAATGGGAACTGCACCCAGCCCTTCACTACTATCCTGTTTGCTGGTGCCATTGCAACAGCAAGGCTGTGCCCAGTTTCTTTCTGTGTCCTTCTCCCTCACAAGCCTGTCTCTGCTGTTCATGTGGCTATGCCTACCTCCTGATGTCCCTACGCCATGTCTCAGATGTGTTTGTGTGTTGAATAGAGAATCCTTTGTTGTCCAACTTGTTGTAACTTCAAGGGGAGAGACTTGAAGGTCCTCCCAAACTACCATACTGCTGGCATCACTCCACTCTTTCAATTTTAGAGCACAGCTATCTAAACAAGGTTCGCTTCTGGGGAGATAGGTAATTAAGAGAGATATAAATAATCCTTTTAGCTAAATATAGTTTAAAAGCCAGACTTACGGGAGAGATTTCCAGAACTTTTTCAAATTATTGCATTAAACTGTTGGTATTTTACTAAAATTAGAAAGTTTTATTCTGTAGACATTTCACAGTGGAGTGGGGTTTACAAAAATTACTAATTCGTGGGCATACCCATTAGAAAGTATTTCAGGTTCCTAATCTTTATTCTGAATACTGCCCAATGTAAGTTGAATCAGTCTTCTGTATTTAAATAATTCCTTCATAAAATCTTGTGTTTCTTGTTTTATTGCTTATTAGATAGATGATGGGAAAAGCATACGGTATAAAGACCTCTACGCACTATTTGAGCAGATTCTGGAAAAGACCATGAGGCTTGAACAACGTGATTGGAATGAATCTCCAGTCAGAGTTTGGGTCAACACTTTTAAAGTGTTTTTAGATGAATATATGAACGAATTTAAGACTTTGGATTATATACCCACAAAGGTAAGTATGATATATTTTCATTTCTAAAAGGATTCATTTATGAACTCTAAGAGTCTGTTTGGGACATCTGGTAGTTGAGAAAAAAATTATAGTGATTATGTAAACTTAGCATTACTTGATATTTAACAAACTCCATTCTGTCTTATAAGTTCATCAGACTATATTCTTTAAGCCTTATGAAATTAATACATTCTTCACTGAGGTAAAATATAATGCTGTGCCCTCAAGATTGTACCCTCAGCTTTGATGGTGGTCAGTACTTGAATTTCCTTTTGTAAAACTGGTTAAAGATGTGATTCACTGTCTCAGCTAACTGGTGGCCTTTATGTGAGGACCAATAAATTATATTTCTCCTTGAATAAGGTTTTAGGAAAATTTGTGTTTCTAGAAATCTGTATAACAGTAATAACCTTTATCTATTGAGTGCCAGAAATTATACTAGGTGTTTGATATTTTATTTAATTCTTGCTTCAGCCCTGTTAAATAACTATTATGAAATCCATAATGCAGAAGAGACATCAGGCTTAGACAGAGTTATCAAAGTGTTTTCTTTCAGTACCCCAGCCGAAATAATTAGGTATCTAATTATTAGATATTAAGAGTACTATTCAGAAAAAAAAAGAGAGTACTATTCATCCTTTTTGTTGATTATGTTTCATTTTATTTTGTTTTTCTAGTTTATATGTGTTTATATTTACAAACCATCTTAAATCATTTTTCAAGTAGTCAAGTATGAATAAATCCTTGAAAGTTCTTTGGTTCTAAATCAAGGGTAAGGTCTTTATGTTTTCCAGAAGAAATTTCTTACTAGGTTTACACTGCCTTTGTTTAAATTTTGAAAGGTTAGGCTTGGATTGTTCTAGACTGGTTATCAGAAAATGTCATATATAAAAGAGCTTTTCCTTGTTTCACATGATAGCTTTTTATATTTAGCTCTGAAATAGAGAATTTTCTGGAGCGAAAATAAGGAAAATGCCATCTTTAAAATTAGTAATCATTTAATTAATTATTAAAATCATCATTTATATTGCTACAGTGTGGCTTCTGGACAGAACTGAGGTTTAAAAAGACAGTAATGTCTAAAGTATCCTTCCATTCTGTTGCTTTTATGAACATTGTGTTTTACCAAACTTCAAGATTCCTCATATTTGCTTACTATCACTTCATGTTTCCTCTTAAAAAATAAAGAGCTGTTTACTCTGTTACCTTTTGAGCAAAAATCTCAGCACGTGCAAAGAAGTAAAAAAGTATGTTAATATTTGTTATATCACAGTTTCTGTATATTTCTTTCCTACCAGGTGCCAAAAACAGAAAGAAAGAAAAGAAGGAAAAAAGAAACTGATTTAGTAAGTCATAATATTTTTTTATGTTATAAAAAAGTAATTTTTAGATAAGCAGTGTGAAGTATATACAATAGCTATGCATGGAAATCTGTTTTACATCTTTCTAATATTCCTTGCTGGACCATTGGGTTTTTCTAGTCTTCTGCTGTTGCAAACAATAATGGCACAATAAATAACCGTGTGTGTGTGTGTGTGTGTGTGTG